GAAAGACGGATTTTTTCTGGCCACACGGACTGTGAGACCGCAATAATTGGCGTTGTTGATGCGCTGCCTCGGCCGCTGGTTTTCGACTCCAACTCCTCAATGAGCAATTCAAGAGATCGCGAAGGCAGCATTTCATCCCCTTTTTCTCTGGCTAAGAAACACGGCGATGACAGTCCCCTCTTATTATCATAATCCTCGGCCATGTGATTGTTGATGTCAGGGGCGGTTGCGGCAGCAAGGGTTTTGCGCGTCCTTTTCGTCGCCCATCCAAATGCGGAGATGGGTGGTACTTCCAAAGAGAATTGTGTCAACTCAACCCAACTTCCAACCTCCAGCGAGCGACGCAGCCACTCCACATCCACCAGAAAACATTCCTTCCGCCGCAACTTGTAGACCCGACAACTGAGTGCGGCAACCTTGGACGACTGGAGCAGTGCGGATCGCCCTGTCACAAGATGGGTGGTGTTGCGTTGACCACTAGAATCATCGGCCATCCTGCCAAGCACAAAGTCCTCCTGCATCAAACAAGACAACCCCCTTTCCTCTAAACAGGAAAGGATGGCCATCCTTTCTTCCCGCGGAACACCTGTAAACGTAATGACTGGCAGCTGAAAAACGGATACTCGATATGATTCCACAGCCACTTGCTTTTGCTGTTTGGCGCATTCCTCCAACCATGCAACCGACACAAACTCTAAATTAGGGCGTTGGGGAAAAACTTCATTCGTCGGCTCCAACACCAACACATGTGTTGTGAGAGGTGTTAGCACTGGTACACGCTGCACACCAACTTTCTCAAAAAGAGAACTAATTGTCTCTGTCATAAGACTTTCGGGAGTGCAATAAACCACCAATCCCTGTATGCCATTCCCTAAAGGTTGTTGACGTGAGACAGGCGCCAGGTTTCGCTGTAATTCAGTGGCGAAGCAATACCGTTTCATGAATTTATCGTACGGCAAGAAATCAATACGATTTTCCCTTGCAAAATGAAGCTTCTCACTTTGATCCTCAACGAATTTGCCATTTGGCACCACCAACACTGCACACCTTCGGGTCAAAAACGCATTGTATTTTGCCCGATGGGTCTCACACGCTCGGCGCACAAATCCAACTTCATCGATAGATAGTGAAGTGCTGCATACTTCCAGTCCGAGTAGGGATCGCCCCATCTCAAACTCCCCTATTCTGCTTATAAAACAACGCCCCAGCCGGACCCAGGCTGGCGTGACGCAAGGAATTCCCCTTTCTCTGGCCACTCGACATTTGCCCCCCTCGCTCCTCCCGGCGATGAGCACATTGGTTGAGGTGGTCAGCTCTGCAACATAGGTCACTCCTTGCTGGTGAAGATCCTTCTTTATGCGATCCAACTCTTCCCCATAAATGGCCGTCGTTGTCACAAGCATTACCTCAAAAAAAAAAAAAAAAAAAAAAAAAAAAAACGCCACCGGCCAAAAGATCCAGTTAATGAGCCATAATTATTTCAAAAAAAAGAGAAGCAGGGCAAGAGAAAAAGAGCTAGAAGGAAAAGAAAAACCATTTTCTATTATCGTTTTTTTTTTTTTTCTTTTTTCGTTGCAAAACACAACAACATGTGTTCCCGTCAAGCAGTAAGCAGGACGGAAACATACAGCATAGCAAAAAAAAAAAAAAAAAAAAGAAGAAAAAAGAAGAAATCAAACAAAAAAAGAAAGTACAAGCCAAGAAACACAGCGTTTAATAGAAGAAACCGAGAACCTTTCCACCAGTGTTGCGGGCACGGGCTTCCTCGTGATCCATGATGCCAAGGGAAGTCGTGAGCACCACAAAGCCAAACTGACGGCTGGGAAGAATGTTCTTCACCCACTTTTCGAAGTCAGGGGCGGTGCAGTCAAAGCGGGGGCAGATGGCGCCGCACTTGTTGAGGCGGCCGTTGAGATTCACCACAATTTTACCCGCGCGGTGATCGTCGATAATCTCAAACTCGCCAATGTAACCGTGCTTCTGCATCACCTGCAAAAACTTCACGACAACCTTGGAAGATGGGCGAATAAGAACCTGACGCTTGCCACGGCGCTCCGCGCTCGCAATACAGCGAAGCGCGTTGGCCAACACGCTCATCATCGTCATTTTCCCTTTTTTCCGGGCCACTGTCGAATGCACAACAATCAAGCCATTAATAGTAGTAATAATAATAAAAAGAAACATGAATACAGAGTACAAATACACAAATACACACAAAAAGCAAAAGCTCGGCGCACCATGAAGGAAATTACGGGCTGATACAAATCATAAGAGAGTAGAGACAGAGGAGGAAACAAACAAACAAAAAAAGACGGTATAAGAGGGGTACAAACCAAAACTCCGCCTCAGTGGCACAACGCGCTCAAAGAAGAAAGGGTTTCATATCGCCCGATTTTTCGGCGCGCAACCACGCGAAGATCATGTGACGCCTGATCAAAACAAAGGGAGACGTTAGCCTCATGTGTAGGTGAGGAGAACAATGAGGCCCCCAGAAAGATAAATCCATCACCGAAAATTGTTTCTAACCACGGCCCTCGGCCCATTGGTATCCGTGTATCCGCGAATCCTAACAAGAGGCAGCTCCAGCGAAGAATGTCAGCCGATCGAGACATCAAAGAAAACTCAGAATCTGCGTCCGTACACATATCGTAAACCTTTTGTGCCTCCATTACACCATGATATGGTTCAACCAAAGGCTCTGATCCACGAGCAGCATAATATGCAGCTTCTTCGGCCAAAATAGCGGATGGAACACCGGCTTTCGCCCAGAGATGCAACACCTCAGATGGATCCGCACAAGGCAATTTTATTGGTTTCAATGCACAAAGCTCTTCACCCTCTTCCACATCGTCGTTACAGATCCATCTGTGATCCACCAAAACAGCTCTGGCCATCGATCCAATACGGTCCCCAAGGGATTCCCAGGCCGCATTGGTGCCAAACCGTTTCACACTTTCTTTAACACAGCAAGCAGCTGCGGTGCGCGCGCCAAGCAAATATAAAGCAGAAGCTTTTCGATAATATGCTTTGACGTTCATTGGGTCAAGAGAAATCGCCCTTTTTGCATCGGACAAGGCGTCATCACCCCTATCAAGTTGAATCATCGCAGCCGCCCTATTGGACCATAGGGTACTGGACGAGGGTTCATATTTTAGTGCTTCACTATAGCAGCGGACAGCCTTCCGTAAATTACCCTGCTTCATTGCATCATTACCCCGCGCTCTGTATTCCTCTGCCTTTTCAGTTTTCTGAGGGACACTGGCTGCAGTGCCACTTCTCACCACATTTAGAGGTGAGTGCTGCAAGGGTGTATGGGATACGTCAGAACGAGAGCCGCTCCGCATCCAATTGTTGTATCGCTCCAGTTCTTTTGGAAGAGCATCTCGGGCTATTCGATACACCTCTTTTATTAGTTCTTCTGTCTCGGCCCGAGTGCGGAACACGCCGGTTTGGGGGTCTATGTCCAATTCAGTGGAAGCATCTACGTACACCTCTTGACTTACAAGTTCCCCATCCACAGGAACGGTCACCAATCGCTTCTCCACAGTGTGCAACATAAAATGTCAACTCACTACAAAAAAGAGAAGAAGGAGAGGCAGAACAGCCGTTTCTATCATCCGCCAAGAAAAGGTAAATGCAAAAACAAAAAACAACGACAATGGCAAGAAAAAAATCATCAACAACAAAAAACAATTACTGCTACCATTAATGATCCTTTTGCAACACCCGCGGAATAAAGCGCACCAATAGCGGAGGGTAAGGTAAATTACATGCTGCAGAGAAACATCATGTTTTGCCGGTGGAAAACAAATATTTCCACGTTTCACTTGGTCTTAAGAGTAATTTGCTATTTAACACATAAAAAAAGGACTCTTTAAACGAGCGCAATCCGGAATAATAATAGGAAAATTTTTACCTTAACAAAGAGAAATAAACAACAAGGTTATAAAACAAGAGGGTCAATGCCCATTCGCGTAAAAATCTATACACGCAAGAAGCAAAAAAGACAAAACAAATTAATCAAGTTTACAGTCTCTGCTTCATTCTTTTTCTTGTGAGTCGCAAAGTTGGAAAGGGCAAATAAATCAAAAAGCAACAACAAAAACAAAATTAAAACAAAAGTGACATCACAATTTTAAAAGAATGAAACACCCGCATAACCCCATTCGCAGCACAAGACAGAAATGTGCTGGCGTCGACACAGAATTTTCCACGCATAAATGCAAACGGGTCCTCTCAAGGCTGTGCATTTTTCTTGTCAAACATGTTTGTGTTGGTTCTGCCCCGACCTATTTGGGGGCAAAATCACAGGTGCTTTGCGCCTCTGAGCATTCGGGCGTAGGCCAAGAAAGCGAAAATGGGTGTGTGCGTGCGGGTGCATCGGGCTTACGGACTCACCTTTTAGCACAAAAAACGATGTTCCACATAAACAAGGTAGGAAATAGCGAAAGGAACAAGTGATAAATAAATAAGGGAACAAAAAAAGATGTATGGGCCATAAAAACAGCCCAGGGTGGTTGTTAAAGGGGGAATTCTGGTGATAACAAAGTACAAATAAGTATTACATAACACCGCTAATGCTTCCAAGAAAAAGGAGCACATTGTGGTCAGAACTTGTCGTTACCCAAGCATTCAAATAAATCCTTCCTAGAGAATTCAAAAACAAAGAAGTATCACCTTTTGAAATACGTCTGCGCTCCGAAGAAGAAGAAGAGGCCGATGGCTCCAAATACCAACGTCGCAACGAGGAACCGCCCACAAATTGACGAACTGAACGACTGAGAGTATTAAGTAAAGAATCATTATTACCATTCATATTCCCTATCCCTAACACCCCTTGATTACACCGTATTTCATGTTCTCTAAACAATCTGCTATATACTTGGCCCCGCATAACATACTCATTCACTAGGCATTCAATCTGAAATTGAAGTAGTCTAAATGTCCGCAAATTAGTTTCTGAAGAAA